TCTCATTTTAAAAATATTAAAAACATATTTAAAAACAAAAAATTGTGTTCCATGAAAAACTACATATCTTCTAATATGACTTCAAAGCACTGAAATTCATCCTACTCAATACTATTTCATGTCTGAAATGCCTAGCTGAATGCCTCAAACACCCATAGCGGTTAAATGGATGACGACAGAATGGTCTACTTGTCCGAACCTGCAAGAAAATATTTACTACACACGGTATTAATATAAAATCAAAGAATTAAAACAAATTATGTCTTTCCACAAAATACATGTACCATTAACTATCTGTTCAAATTATTCTGAATTTGAAAAAATTTACAGTCTTAAACACAACTGGCCCTAAATAATGATGCTGGCAGAACCCTGAGAAAGTATACGGGGCTGGAACAAGTTAAAGATGCTAGTTGGTATCTTCTAAACATCAACGACTATTTTAAAGACACAACACATACTTAGATGTTATTTTTACCTGATAGTCTCGTAGACCAACCAATATAATGTCTGAAGTATTTATCCAACCTGTAAGAAATTTATGCAGATTATTTTAAAAATAAAAGCAAATAAGAAGGGAATGTTTAGTGATCTTCCCATAAAATGGATACGCTATTCACCTAATGTGAAAAATAAAATAAAATTAAGACTTTGATGCCAGGCCAGGTGTCTCATGCCTATAATCCCAGCACTTTGGGACGCTAAGGCAGGAAGATCACCTGAGCACAGGAGTTTGACACCAAAACTGGAAAACATAGAGATGCCTAGACTGTACAAAGAGTCAAAAAATTTCAAAAAGTTGGGTGTAGTAGCACATGCCTGCAGTTACTTTAGAAGGCTGATATGGGAGAACTACTTGAGGTGGAGGCTGCAGTTGAGTGATGACTATGCCACTGTACTCCAGCCTAGAGCACAGAGATCCTGTCTCATAAAATTGGGAAAAAACCTGTAACATATATACATAGTATAGTGGTATGTAGCACATAGTTAAGGTCTGGCATGGAAAAAATTACAGTACCAATTGAGTTTGTTAAATTTTCTTTCTTAGAATGTTAAAAATCATAACAATTTTATTCCAATTACCAAGAATTTAGAATTCCAGATAATCCTTTGTGGTAGAAATTCAGACATGCAATTGTATCTAAACAACAAACAAGATGTATCTAAAACAAAATGATTCTAAAGCAACCATCTACATAAATATAGCCTCTGCTATTGTCTTAACGTTTGTATTCCTCCAGATTTATGTCGAAATTTGAATCCATGGTACTAGGAGGTTGGGCCTTTGGGAGGTGATTATGTAATGAGGGCTGATCCCTGATGAATGGGATTTTTGCCCTTATAAAGAGGCCCAAGGGAGCTCATTCATCTCTTCTAAAATATGTGGAGAATGCAGAAGGCACCACATATGAATGAGAAAATGGGTCATCACCAATATTAAATGGATTTCTCTTTCTCCAGAGCTATGAGAATAAAATTTCTGTTGTTTATAATCTACCCAGTCAAAGGTACTTTGTGATGGCAGCCCAAACGGACTAAGAGAACCCATAAAAGTGCCACTAATTTGGAAATGAAAGCATGTTAACACACCAAATAGATTCTATTTTCTTCTTTTTGAGATAGAAAATCTCACTCTGTCACCCAAACTGAAGTGCATTAGCAGAATTCTTAGCTCATGGCAACCTTGCGCTCCGGGGTTCAAGCAATCATCCTGCCTTAAGCCTCCTGAGGAGATGGAACTATAGGTATATGCTGGCTAATACTTGTAGAGAGCTCAGCCAAAATAAAGTTTTTATTATAAAATTTAAGTACCACAGACTTTTAATCAATTTGATTTATAAAACTACCTGATATGGTATTGTAATAAATCTGCTGTCTACCATTTCATATTCCAATTTTCCTCATACCACCTACAACTATTTCAACCAAGACAAAACCTAATGAAGGAATATGCAGCAATTAGTCTCTTTTAATGTAAATTCCCACATTTTTTATTGTTTCAAAGTATTAACATTTGAGTCAAGACGATTTGTATTATATATTAAAACATGTGATGTAGTCAATACTAACATCAGAGTAAACACTTCTGGCAGGAATACAACAGAAGTCAAACAAAGGAATTATTCTTTAAAAGTAAATCTAAAAGTTATCAAAGACCTTTTCTGTTTATTCTTATTGTCATGAGTCACGGTTGTATAAATTATTTTGAGAACTCAAATTGCTTAGACCATGTATTTAAAGCAGAGACTTTTTTAAATTGAAGTAAAAGAAATCTACACACCTACCTTTTTTCTCAATTTTCCTCGGATATGGCATAACCTCTTTACACCATCAAAACACAATGCTTCCAATCGTCCATTCCCCAGCATTTTAATTACCTGAGCATACTCTGAGAAGAGGAGAGTAAAACAAGGGTGAGATCCTATTCAACATTTGTTAAAATGTAATGAGTGAAATTTAGCTGTTTGGTTGGGCATGGTGGCTCACACTCGTAAACCCAGCAATTTGGGGGGCAGCCAAGGCTGGTGAATCTCCTGAGGTCAGGAGTTCAAGACTAGTTTAGCTAACATGGGGAAACCCCATCTCTACTAAACTTTAATCAGTTGGCTGTGGTAGTTGGTGCCTGTAATCCCAGGTACTCAGGAGGCTCACGTAGGAGAATGGCTTGAACACAGGAGGCAGAGGTTTCAGTGGGGCTGAGATTATGCCACTGTATGCCAGCCTGGGTGACAACAGCAAAACACCACCTCAAAACAAAACTAAAACAAAAAACAAAAGAAAATTATCTGTTAATAAAACCTCCACTAACTGCTAAATCAGATCAAACTACAAAGAAAAACAGAATAAAACAAACAGCAAAAAGTTTAAGAAATTCATTCAGACAGTCCTATTTCAAAATGTCACATATTATGGCAGGGAAACCGGAGTCCCAGCTATGCATATTTACTTTAACACCTTTATTTTTAGAATAAATAAAAGCCTAAGTCAAGTAACTTGTTTAGTGTTACAAACGCCATTTCCATGACAAGCTATATCCGTTAGTAGAGGCATTTTAATTACCTACCCATTCTGAATATGTCAACAGTTGTTTTTCACGATTGTACACTTTAGTTTTGAACATCGAAGTGGCTCATTTCATAATATACACTATAACACTTCATCAGTCTCCCCACATGAGCCTTAACTCAATCTTCACCATCCTTAATCTCAGAAATGACTGAGACAAATTATAGCCTAACTATTAAAAATTCCCATTTACTTTAGACTATCTCAGTGATTATTCTTAAGTTCTTGAAAAATGGGAGTGACATTCCTAAGTAAAATATAACATGTTTATGGGAAATACTTTCAAAAGTGCCCTGACTCCACTGCTACTAGAAAGTACTCCTATAAGAATATGAGCATTAGCCAGTACAGCCATTCTCTTCTAAGAGGCAGGAAAGAGAAAAAAACAAACAAAGGAAATAGAGGGAAACAGACAATTCCAAAATTTTCACACTAATAAGGTTTCTTCTTAGAACTATCCAAGAGAAGGTCGGGCGTGGTGGCTCACGCCTGTAATCCCAGCACTTTGGGAGACCGAGGTGGGTAGATGACGAGGTCAAGAGATCGAGACCATCCTGGACAACATGGTGAAACCCCGTCTCTACTCTAAAAATACAAAAACTTAGCTGGGCATGGTGGTGCATGCCTGTAATCCCAGCTACTCAGAAGGCCGAGGCAGGAGAATTGCCTGAATCAGGTGGCAGAGGTTGCGGTGAGCTGAGATCACGCCATTGCACTCCAGCCAGGGTAAGGAGCAGAACTTCGTCTCAAAAAAAAAAAAAAAAAAAAAAGAAAGAACTATCCAAGAGAATATCGACTAACACATAATTACATTTAAGAGATAAATTTATAAAGCTACATTGAGAGGTTGTTATATATGTGGCAACTGAGTTCATTTTACAGAAGTTGGTGAGCCCAGATTATCATTAAGCACTTCTGCAACATGGATAAAAATAACAATAAAATAAGAACAAATGGAAATTAAAAAACTGGTCCTGAAAGTACAGTCAATGTCTATTAGAAATGAAAGATGATAGCTAAATAGGTGTCTTTTGCCAGAAAATAAGTTTCATATAATTAAAACATGTTAACTTTTTAGTGGCTTCTATCTAGAATATAAAAGACTAACAAAAATTCAACATAGAAACATACATAGTTTTTGTCGTAAATATTAAATAATGTATTTATGTTGAAAATAATTAAACGTAGAGAAATTTGAATATAGATTATCTAAGAGATTAGGACTCTTCACAAAATGTCCTGTTAGGGAACTATTAAACTGTAAGCTAATCTAAACAGTTATATGTAGTTAGTGGTACCTATTTGAAACAGCATAGTATAAAAGTTAAAAACAATATAACATTAAAGTTAAATTTGTTGCAATAATTCTACTGTAGTTAGAGAAAGAAAAGTGCTTCATCTTAGAAGACATACGTTGAAGTATTTAGGTCTGAGGCCTGTAAATTCATGTTACTAGTTATCTGTATAGAAAATCAAAATGGTCAGAAAAATGTGTAAACATGCAGAAACGCAAAGAGAGAAATAAATGATGTAAAGGTTAAAAACTAGTAAATTCAGGTGAGGAATATTTACAATTTTGTTGTGTACTAATATTTCAAATTTTTCCTATGTTCATTATTTTAAAAAGAAAAAATGAAGACAAAAGCAAATGCACCAATGAATTTATTTTGTTCTTTTGTATCTCCTTTTATCAATCCAGTGGGGTTAGTCAATTATTAAAACTGTATTACAGGCTGGGCATGGTGGCTCACACTGTAATCCCAGCACTTTGGGAGGCAAAGACGGGTAGATCACGAGGTCAAGAGATCAAGACCAACCTAGCCAACACAGTGAAACCCCAACTCTACTAAAATACAAAAATTGGCTGGGTGTGGTGGCTCACACCTCTAGTGCCAAATACTGAGAGGCGGAGGCAGGAGAACTGCTTGAACCCAGAAGGTGGAGGTTGCAGGGGGACAAGATTCTGCCACTGCACTCCAGCCTGGCACCTGGTGACAAAACAAGACCATTAAAAAAATAATTATATATATATATATATATATATATATATATATATAGTATTACATTTTATGATTAAGTACTAGTGGCAGTGAAGCACTTGGGGTTCAAAAAGGTTTTATGATTTTTATCCTAAAAAATTCCCATGGTCTACTAATAGTGTATGACATTATGCATTAACAACATATGAAATATTTAATGATCACAGTCTATGCTTAATTTGCTCTAAACTTTTTTTTTTTTTTTTGCTTCGAGCAGGGTCTTGGTCTGTCACCCAGGCTGAATACGGTCATGCCCTCACAGCTCCCTGCACCCTTAACCTCCTGGGTTTAAGCCCTCCTCTCCCCTAATCCCGCGGAGTACCTCGGACTCCAGTCATGTACTACTATGCCTCATTATTATTATTACTATTATTGTAGAAACAGGGTTCTGCCCTATTGCCCCCAGCTTTAAGCAAGCGAAACACTTCACTTCCCAAAGGGCTGGGATTACAGCAATCAGTTAGATTGTATTCCTCCACGCTAAACAATGAAACTGTGTTTACAAAAATGCTCTCAATGAATCCTATATCCAGACTTAATATATCCTAGAAATTATTATTTAATAAACAAATTCTAGATAAATGTGGATGATGAGAAATGACAAAAGGAAAAATGGAAACATAGTACAACTGCTTAGCATAATGACTAAGACTCCTTTAAGAAAAAGACAGAAAATTATACTCATGGCAACAATGAAACATGTTAATAAAAGAAGCCTAACTTAAAGTCTTACCTTGTCCATCCTCTTTAAACACCAACTCTCTTTTTTCAGATTCCTTCTCATTCTTACCCCTGCGCCTGGTTTTACCTCCTTTACCTAATTAATTTAAAAAGAAGATAAAAAAATTCACTGTAAAAATCTACATATTATATACATTATAATACAAAAGAAGACTTTTGAAGTTTGCTTTTGAAACCACTTGCAGGAAAATTGAAAATGTGTCATTTAAACAGATTTATTATCTGTTTAATGTACATTAAAAGAGGTTTAATGTACACTACAACATTAACATTACAGAATTAACAGGACTTTTCAGAGTTCTCTTTAAGTCTTTTACCAGGTATATATCAATACTTTCCTCTTGGACATTTGTTTGGATACTGCTGAGATAAATGTACATCTTATGTAAAACTGTATAAAAGAAAAATTTTATTACTCAAATAACTATTGTGAAGATGTTGTTCATGCTTTCCAAATAAAAACAGGACTCTATTCATTTTCCTCTATAACATATTTTAACACTAGTCAATAATTAGTCCTGAGTATCTTTTCATTACAATAGCTGCAGACCTGGGCCAACATTTTAACTGTTAAAGTATATTAATGCTGTATCTTGATTTCTTCAATGTTTCACTATTATTACACAATGCTGCATTGAAGGTTGTCTGCAAACAACCTTCATAAGATAAATGAACACAAGTAGAATTTCTGAGTTAAAAGTTTACAAATTCACTTCCTTACTCTTTAGATCAACTATTTCAACTGCCATCACATTTCTTTCCATTTTTATATTTTCGCTTATTGCTAGACACATAAGCGAAAGGATTTTCTATTGAATCACCAAGGAATTGGGGTAATTTTCCGTAACATTTTGTCCCCATTACCGAATGTTAATGAAAATAGCAGTGGTTTCCAAAAGGAGAGTTAAAGACCGCAAATCAAGTAATATTAAAGGATCGATGGAAGAATCTGAATAAAAAAGATAACACTGCAAATAGAATAAAATTTACATACTTGACCACTGTAAACTCAGACATCTAATTCTTGAATGCATCCAATACCTCAGGGGCAGTTACAGTACTGTGTGCCACTATAAAACAAAGTGACTCGTCTACATTTTGATCCATTCTTAGGACACACCAAAACTAAATTTCTAAAAGAAAAACACATTCTATATTTTGAGTCATTAATCTTGCCTGAACTTAGCGGTGTCAGGACAAGGATCATACCTGCTTTGCTTACTGAGTTTTACAAAAGTTTGGCAGCTTTTCAAATGACTAAATAATGATTAGTTCAAGTTCTAAAAGAATGGCAACTTTTAAATTGCATATCGCAATCTCAAAGGTGGAGGCACCTTGGTCTATCTCTCCAGGAGTAGGCCAAAGGCTGCCCGTTTCCCGATGTGAGGATTGGTTTCTAAGACTTCGGAAGAAAACCAGCTGAATGAGTGCAAAGAAAAAGTCACACTACATATGGCCCATGCTCATTTACATGTTTACTTGGATAAACCTCATCACAATATTAACAGGCATCTGGATTTTCAGATAAAAAACAACAACAACAAGAAAACCAAATTAGCAAGTTTTATTTCTACATTAGTAAGTCTAATAAAATACGGGTCTTCCGCAGTATCCTTCAACGAATAAGCCCAGCAGATAACACCGATTTTACATAATAACAAAAACATTCCATTTAGGATGGGGATTATCTCAAGAAGAAAAAATGGCGAGTGGTGGCAGAGGACTTTATGAATCTGTGCTGTAATTCTTAGACATATCTTTCTTTTAAGTGCCTCACATATGATTTAAAAAAAAAAAAACTGTTCTCAGTCTACCATAATTAACCAAACCCTTATGATTCTCCTTTTATTGTAATGTCGTGCAATAGAATTCACTATCTTTTAAGAGAATGAGACTAGGCATGCACATACCACAATTAAAGTCGTTTAATATTCTTTTTTAATCTTCCTTTCTAAGAACAAAAAATCCACACCTCCTACTTAAACAATTTAGATGTGTTTTGGAGATACTCTTTCTAATGAGAATATTCTTAGGCATCATTCAGTGTAAAAGTTCTACCCTACAAGAACAAAGCAAGCCTTACTATTTAAGGAATGGTGTCAGGTACAGGTACAGTAACATCAACAAAGATTTATTGGACACTTTGCAAGGGATACTGTGATCTTTAGTTGATAGCTTATTTAAGAGAACTGTGAATCTCATCAACAGAAATAAAGGTGGAAACAAGATAACTACTGAAGTTGTTCAGTGCTATCTGAAAAATAAGTTCACTTACAACTTAAAAAGTGGGAGGCCTAACCTCTCCTTAGGCCTCCCACTTTATAATTGTAAGTAAACTTACATTCAAGTCTAAGCTTGGTGTGAAAATTTAGCCGCAGAATGAAGGTAACCTTTATGTCTTTATTCCCACAATATTTATTTGATAAGGAAGTTGAAAACTTGCCTAAATATGTAACACATCTTCTGCAAAAGAATGATCAACTTTTTTAAAGAGCTGGGGCAGAGTAAAACGCCAGAAATGAACCTAAACATGTTTCAAGGTTTCCTCACCGTTTAACACAAAAAAGGGAATATCCTTAACAACACTTTTAACTGTCCGGATAGTCTTCAAAATGAATAACTGCTTCAGGAAAGTAGCAGGGAAGTTGGTAGGAACCTATACTTGAAGGCCAGGCCTTCCGGATAAGGTCCCTCAATCGTCTCTTCCTATACACGGTAAGTCTGGTATGAATCAGTCTCAAAAGCCCACGATCCTCCGAAGGCCTCATAAACATGGCGGCTGTCCCACCCCAATGTGACCAAACTGAGTGTTCCCAGCGTCTTTCCCTAACACATAAGAAGGGGCGCGGCGCCCAATACCCGCGGGAAGAACCGTCACTGCGACCTGGAACAGACGTCGAGATTAATGGCAGAGCAGGCAGAGGTACAGTCCCAGAGGCCTGCAGGATTACCTTTATTCTTGGGCATGCTGGTGTTAAGGGCCTCGTGTGACCTCTTCCGACTCCTTTCTGGCGGTTACTACTCCACAGCAGCCTGAACTAAGATGTCGCAGACGGGCGCGTCGAAGAGACTGGCTACTGAGCTCTGTAACACACTTCAGACGGGCACTTTATGACGCCAGCAAAAGGCGACGAAACTAATTACGATACTTCCCCCGCCCCCAACCGCTTCTCTATGTCGGAGGCGTGGCCAAATGACTGACGTAGTAGATCAAGTCAATAAGAAAGAGTTTGGTCCACGAAAAAACTCGGGGCGGGGCGGGACTAGACTCAGCATGGAGAAGGCGGAGTCAGGAACGGAAGGAGCGGGGTGGTGGGGTCTACCGCTTTGTAAAAAAAACCGTCTTCGGGCTGGCTGCGGTGGCTGACGCCTGTAATCCCAGCACTTTGGGAGGCCTAGACGGGTGGATCACGAGGTCAAGAGATCAAGACCATGGTGAAACTCCGTCTCTACTAAAAAATACAAAATTATCTTGGTGTGGTGGCGCGCGCCTGTAGTCCCAGCTACTCGGGAGGCTGAGGCAGGAGAATTGCTTGAACCTGGGAGGCAGAGGTTGCAGTGAGCCGAGATCGCGCCACTGCACTCCAGCCTGGCGAAACAGCAAAACGCTGTCTCAAAAATAAATAAATAAATAATAAAAAAAAACAACCATCTTTCCGGGTCTGGAGCTGTGGCTCACTGCCATAATCCCAGCACTTTGGGAGGCCGAGGCTAGCGGATCACGAGGTCAGGAGATGGAGATCATCGTAGCCAACGTAGTGAAACCCGGTCTCTACTAAATTAAAAAAAAAAAATTACCTGGGCGTGATGGCACATGCCTGTATTCCCAGCTACTCAGGAGGCTGAGGCAGGAGAATAGCTTGAACCCAGGAGGCGGAGTTTGCCGTAAACCGAGATCGCCCCTCTGCCCTACATTATGCGTGACAGTGAAAGACTCCGTGTCCGTGTCAAACAAACAAACAACAGTCTTCCAGTTTCACAACTTACTGTGGCATTTACCTATAACCTCCTAAAACAAGTCCTTGCTCTTATACAATGAGATTGGAGGACTGGTGAAGGACAAGGACCCCTATGTTCCGAATGATTATTACTTTTCTCCATCCTTTTTTTTTTTTTTTTTTTTTTTTTCTTGAGACAGTTTTGCTCTGTTTGCCCAGGCTGGAGTGCAGTGGCCAGATCTCGGTTCGCTGGAAGATCCTTCTTTTGGTTTCAAGCGATTCTCTTACCTCAGCCTCCACAGTAACTGGGATTACAGACGCTGGTCACCACGCCCGGCTAATTTTTGTGTATTTAGTAGACAAAATGGGTTTTCACCATATTGGCCAGGCTGGTCTCGAACTCCTGACCTCGTGATCTGCCGGGGCCTCCCAAAGTGCTGGGATTATAGCATGAGCCACCACCCGCGGCCTACTTTTCTCTATCTCTGTCTTCTCTATCTCACCATAAACCATATCAGTACAGACACCAGATCTGTTGCCTAAGCCTCTGAATTTTGCAGTATATCATGACTTAACCAAATGTCTCAAATGGACTGGCTGTGGTGGTCAAATTATTTCAGGAAAAATTCCACTGGGTTATGGTATTCGATCATTTAGTTAACTGTATTTGTTGTACTACTATTATGTTTAGAATGTTGGCATCTGTGTTAAGATATATCAGTTTGTAGTTTCTTGTGATGACTGGGTCTAGGATAAATAAAATCCTGGCTTCATAGAATTAATTACATAGTGTCCCTTTTTCCCTGTGTTTTTGCACAAATTTGAGTATTGAGGTAAGTTATTTAAATGGTGGTAGGATTTAATTTTGATTATTAATTTATAATGTATTTATTCCTAAGTCAGTTTTGGTAGTTTGTATCAGGAATTTCTTCATTTATTCTAAATTATCTAACTTGTTGGGCGTATACTTGGCCATAATATAGATAGTATAGTAGCCTCTTAATCCTTTTGTTTCTTTCATTGTGCAAGATAAGTCACAGTACTCCAATTATCAGGCACTCAAAACCAGTCTATGAAAGTAGCCACAGGGGTTGTTCACTACAAAGCCCCAGGGGCAGAGTTGGCCAAATCTGTGGGAGCTCACCCTTAGTATCATGAGTATGCCCTGGGTGTAAGCATAGAGTCAAATGAGGTTTTGGAGCTTTATGATTTAATGACTGCCTGGCCACGTTTCATACTTGCCTGAGGCTTGTGTCCTCTTTGCTTGGCCGATTTCTTTTATTTTAAATGGTAACATTTACCCAATGCCTGTATTACTATTGTATTTTGAAAGTAACTAACTTGCTTTTAATTTTCCAGGCTCATAGGCGAAAGGAACTTCCCCTTTCTCAGATGAAACTTTACACTTGGACTTCTGCATCAATGTCAAACTGAGTTAAGGCTTTGGGTGACTGTTGGGAAGGCATTACTGGTTTTCAAATATGATAAAGACATGAGAAATAGGAGGAATTAGGAGATATAGTTTGGCTCTGTGTTCCCACTAAAATATCATCTCCAATTTTAATCCCCACGTTTTGAGAGAGGGACCAGATTGAGGGTGATACGGTCATGGGGGCAGTTTGTCCTGTGATGTTCTCATGATACTGAGGTAGTACTCATGAGAGATGATAGTTTTAAAAGCGTTTGGATTTCTTCCTTTGCTTCTTTCCTACCACCATGTAGGATGTGCCTTGCCTCCCCTACATCTTACAGCATAATTGTAAGTTACCTGAGTCCTCCTCAGTCATGCAAAACTGTGAGTCAATTAAAACCCTTTTCTTTGTAAATTACTTAATCTGAGGTAGTATATTTATAACACTGTGAGAACAGACTAATGCAGTTATAAAGCTGACAAAAGGCTTATCTAGTTTTCAGAAAGATTTACATACTTTTAAAGAAAGGAAGAGCAGGCCGGGCGCGGTGGCTCAAGCCTGTAATCCCAGCACTTTGGGAGGCCCAGGCGGGTGGATCACGAGGTCAAGAGATCGAGACCACCCTGGTCAACATGGTGAAACCCCGTCTCTACTAAAAATACAAAAAATTAGCTGGGCACGGTGGTGCGTGCCTGTAATCCCAGCTACTCAGGAGGCTGAGGCAGGAGAATTGCCTGAACCCAGGAGGCGGAGGTTGCGGGGAGCCGAGATCGCGCTACTGCACTCCAGCCTGGGTAACAAGAGCAAAACTCCATCTCAAAAAAAAAAAAAAAAAAAAAAGAAAGGAAAAGCAATTACAATTTTCTAAAGCAAATGTTCTGAGAAAAGGGAGAGCCACTGAGGGAATTATTTATTATATTATTTTTAATTTGTATTTGTCCTCACACTGGCTAAAGGTTTGTTACTCTTGTAAATCTTTTCAAATAATAAATTTGGTTTTGTTGATTATATTGTTTCCCTATTTTCTTTTTTTTTTTTAATTGCATTTTAGGTTATGGGGTACATGTGCAGAACATGCAATACAGTTGCATAGGTACACACAGGGCAGTGTGTTTTGTTTGCTTTCTCCCCTTCACCCACATTTGGTATTTCTCCCCTGGCAATCCCTCCCCAACTCCCCCTCCCACTGGCCCTCCCCTTTTCCCCCTATAGACCCCAGTGTTTAGTACTCCCCTCTCTGTGTCCATGTGTTCTCATTTTTCATCACCCGCCTATGAGTGAGAATATGCGGTGTTTCATTTTCTGTTCTTGTGTCAGTTTGCTGAGAATGATGTTCTCCAGATTCATCCATGTCCCTATAAACGACACGAACTCATCATTTCTGATTGCTGCATAATATTCCATGGTGTATATGTGCCTCATTTTCCCAATCCAGTCTATTATCAATGGGCATTTGGGTTGATTCCAGGTCTTTGCTATTGTAAACAGTGCTGCAATGAACATACGTGTGCATGTGTCCTTATAGTAGAACGATTTATAGTCTTTTGGGATTGCTGGGTCAAATGGAATTTCTATTTCTAAGGCCTTGAGGAATCGCCACACTGTCTTCCACAATGGTTGAACTAATTTACACTCCCACCAACAATGTAAAAGTGTTCCTTTTCTCCACATCCTCTCCAGCATCTGTTGTCTCCAGATTTTTTTAATGATCGCCATTCTAACTGGCGTGAGATGGTATCTCAATGTGGTTTTGATTTGCGTCTCTCTGATGACCAGTGACGATGAGCATTTTTTCATATGATTGTTGGCCTCATATATGTCTTCTTTTGTAAAGTGTCTGTTCATATCCTATGCCACTTTTTAAATGGGCTTTTTTTCCTGTAAATCTGTTTGAGTTCTTTGTAAATTCTGGATATCAGCCCTTTGTCAGATGCGTAAATTGCAAAAAATTTTTTCCCATTCTGTTGGTTGCCGATTCACTTTAGTGACTGTTTCTTTTGCCCTGCAGAAGCTGTGGAGTTCCATTAGGTCCCATTTGTCTATTTTGGCTTTTGTTGCCAGTGCTTTTGGTCATGAAGTCCTTGCCTACTCCTATGTCCTGGATGGTTTGCCTAGATTTTCTTTTAGGGTTTTTATGGTGCCAGGTCTTATGTTTAAGTCTTTAATCCATATGGAGTTAATTTTAGTGTAATGTGTCAGGAAGGGGTCCAGTTTCTGCTTTCTGCACATGGCTAGCCACTTTTCCCAACACCATTTATTAAACAGGGAATCCTTTCCCCATTGCTGGTTTTTGTCAGGTTTATCCAAGGTTGTATGGTTGTAGATATGTTGTGTTCCCTCTGTTCTCTTCCATTGGTCTATATCTCTATTTTGATACCAGTACCATGCTGTTTTGATTACTGTAGCCTTGTAGTATAGTTTGGAGTTTGGCAGTATGATGCGTCCTGATTTGTTCTTTTTGCTTAGAATTGACGTGGTTATGTGGGCTCTCTTTTGGTTCCATATGAAGTTTAAGTTGGGTTTTTCCAGTTCTGTGAAGAAGGTCATTGGTAGCTTGATGGGGATAGCGTTGAATCTGTAAATTACTTTGGGCAGTATGGCCATTTTCACAATACTGATTTTTCCTAACCATGAACAAGAAATGTTCCTCCATCTGTTTGTGTCCTCCCTTATTTCGTTGAGCAGTGGGTTTGTAGTTCTTCTTGAAGAGGACCTTGCGTTCCTTGTTAGTTGTATTCCTAGGTATTTTATTCTCTTTGTAGCAATTGTGAATGGCAGGTCGTTCTTGATTTGGCTCTCTTTAAGTCTGC